GCACGGCAGTCGGGGGCAGTGGACCTGGGGAGGAAACACAAGTCACTGCCAGGGGCCACATCTGAGCTGAGGGATAGGAGATGCTCCATGTCTGTGCCAAGCCTGTGCTGCAGGAGCTGGGTCAGCTCTATGAGGTCCCGTGGGCTGGCTGTGCCCTTGACTCTGTGGCAGCTGCCTCCTCCCTGAGACTGTGGGTTGCTGTGGGTGGTTACCAGGGATGGGGGTGGCACAGGATCATGCACAGGCTCCTCATGATGCATCCAGGCAGGGAATAAGCACTGGGTGCTTGCGTGGGTGGGAGAGGAGAGCAGGAGGGCTGCACCAGTATAGCCTCTGACCAAACTGGGAAGGGAAGGTCTGGTGAAGGACACCTGGCTGCAAGGAGAGCATCACACTCACGTGTGCAGTGGGTGAGGTTGGGGGCGCTGGCGTGGAAGGGCCCAGCTGTGGCCCTCACTGCCACGCTGTAGAGGGTGCCAGGGCTCAGGCTCCTGAAGATGTGACTCCTGGCGTTGCCTCCCAGCACCGTGTGCCCGACGTGAGTGCCAGAGGCTGTGTCATAGACATCCACCACGAAGCCTTCTGCTCCTTGCCCTGCTGCTGCCCAGGAGGCCAACAGCACCCAGGCTGAGGGGCTGCCCAGGGTGAGGTTGGCAGGGGCCAAGGGATCTGGAAAGCAACAGGGAGACAGTCAGCCCAGAGATCCTCTGAATAGGAGCCTGGGCACAAACAGGCAGGCAGGGCACATGGCTGTGAGCGCAGCATCCCTGGGATCTGCAGCTGGACATGACAGGGGAGATACCCTGAGCCTCTGAGGGGGGTGGGGGGATTGGCTCCGTGTCAAGGATGGAATGAGGACAGTGAGCAGAAAGGTGGGACCATTACATAGAAGCTATGGGCACAGTGTGAATGGCTTGGGATGGGGAAGGTGGCATTGCATGCTTTGGAAAGCTCAGGTGGAGGCTCTGGGGCACAGCAGGGATGGTTTGGGATGGGGCAGGTGGCAGTGGGTGCTCTGCAAGGCTCAGGGGGAGGGGGGCTCTGGGGCACACTGGAGCACTATGCCCAACCCAACCAATCAGACTCACGTGTCCATTGGGTGACGTTGATGGAAGAGGCTTCTAACGAGCCTTTCACAGCAGTGACCTGCACAGCAAACCTGCTGCCTGCCTCCAGGTGAGTCCAGGTGATGTTCTGGGCATCTGGACTCAAGGTCTGGACCTGCACCCTGCTCTGGGTGCTGAGGCTATACAGGGTAATGCGGTAGTGGTCCCTCCTGCCAGGGGGCTTATTCCAGGATGTGTAAAGCTCTGAGGAACTGCCTGGGTTTGTAAGGCTCAGGTTTGTTGGGGCTGCAGGAACTGTGAGGAAAAACAGACACATCGGTTGGAGAGAAAAAGATCCAGTTCTGAACAAGCAGACATCTCGGTACAAAGAGGGTGTGAGACAGGACATGACTACAGGTCAGCTTCACCAGGAACTAGGCCAGGGTGCCCTCCTCTCCTCCCCTCCCTTCCTTCCCCTCCCCTCTTTGGGTGCCAACATTGATCCCATCCCATTCCAGAGCTCATCACAGTGCTCCTACCCCGTCACCCCTGGGTGTCATGCATGCTGACCTGTGCAGCTGGTGATGTTCCTGGGGAGGGAGCGGTAGGGTCCAGCCACTGCCCAGATGCCAACAAGGTAGCATGTTCCTGGTTCCAGCTGTGGCACAGTGACATTGGTGCTGTCTTTCCCCGCTTCCAGGTTCCTTGGTGGTGCAGAAGAGCCCTCCTCGAGCACACTGAGCAGGTATCCATCCCTCTGCCCAGGAGCAGTCTCCCAGTGCACAGCCAGAGCCCAGGCAGTGCTGACAGGGCTGGCAGATAGGGAACGAGGAGGCAGTGGGACTGTGGGAGAGAAACAGGGTCACTGGGGACAAACCTGAGGTGCTCAGGATGGACTCTAGGTTGGGAATGAAGCTGGGAGCTGAAGGACTGTGGGCATCCAGCACACTATCTAAAGGCTGCTGAGAGCAGCAGGCTGCTCCCGGGTCAAAGCTGCTCCCTGTGTCCCAGGTGACAACAGTGCACCACCACCATGGCCTGAGTCCCCCTTGTCCCAATGGCTCACAGCACGACCCACTGAGCTGCTGGGCTCAGGGTGAGAGAAGGTCCCACAAAAGACCCAGCACCTTGAGTAGGAGACAGGCTCCGGTGGGGTTGCAGGGACACAGTCTCAGAACTCTCCTGCAGAACAGCCCTGGGACCCTCCTTGTGGTCCCGAGCCCCTCGCCAGGTCAGAGCCAGGCTGGGTGCCAGAGGTGGAGAGGGGATGGGAACAGGGGAGCTGTGTTTCTACCGGTGTAGCCAATGGCAGTCTGAGAGGAGATGCGGTGAGGCCCAGCCTGAGAAATGATCTCCACGCGGTACCGGGACCCTGGCACCAGCCCCTCCAGGTCGAGCTGGGTGACTCCACGGGGCACAGACACGTTCCTGATGACGGACAGGGACTCAGCCACCGAGAGCTGTACCAAGTGGTCTCTGCCACCGCCGGACTCCACCCAGCTCACGTGCAGCTCCTGGGGTCTCCGGCCAGGCCGTACGCTCACATTAGCCAGAGACAGCGGATCTGGAGGAAAGCACAGCATGAAATCCATGAAGTGGTGGATGAGCCACCTGGAGAAGCCAGGGCACAGCCTGCACCTCTGCACAGGGCTAAAGGAGGAGTGGTGGCAGCTGACTGCCAGCTCTCCTCTTCTCCTGGGAGAAAGGCAACCTGCCTGTGCATGTCCCCAGGGTGCTATTAGCAGGTAAGTGCTGACAGCACTCAGCTCCCATTGGGCTGCTTTGCTCCATGGACAGGGAGCAGAAAGCCCATACAGGTCTCTGTGCTTCCTCTCTCACATCCCTCTCCACCAGTCCCTGGCTGGCCTTGAGATCCCCAGCTTGACTGGGGAAAATCTAAGCTGGGGAAAAGGGTCTTTTGGGGCCCAACAGCCACCACACAGCCTGTGACATGTGCTCTGATTCCCAAGACAGGGAGCCTGCACATCCCAGTGGAGCCCTCCCTCCACCCAGACAAGTCCCTGTCACTGCTACTCTTGCAGGCAGTGCCAGGATGTCCCATCCCTGCAGGAGACTGGGGATACTTCTCACTCACATGTCCACTCAGTGGCAAAGTGTGATGAGGATCTGTATGGGCCACTGAGGACGGTCACCTTCAGGAAGTACTGAGTGCCAGGGGACAGCCCCAGGAATGTGAAGTTGTGGGTGTTTGGCCCCACTGAGATGTTCCTCTGTGCTGCATGGCTCTTGCTGTAGAGCTGGAGGTGGAACTGGTCCACATCACCAGCAGCCTTGTCCCAGAAGGCTGAGAGCCCCAGTGGGCGCCGGGTGTTGGTCAAGGTCACGCCAGCCGGAGCCAGGGGATCTGAGAGAAAAGAGACACCCAGGCAGTGAGAGGTGGTTGTGGTGTGGAGCTGGAGCTGCACACACTTGTCCTGCTCCACTGCCTGCACCTGGTGGGGTTAGGTCAGGAATCAGCCCTGGCACATCAAACCCCAGAACAACCAGAGCTCCTGCTCTGCAGCAAACAGGGAAGCAGGTCCCCCCATTCCCCTGGGTGACATTTGGAAATGTTTTCTGTTCACTAATGGGTTCCTCCTGCACTGCAGACCCTTTTAGGTCCAACTGGCTCAATGCAGCTCCAGTTGTCCTCTCACTCTGTCTGGCTATGCACCCCTATCCCAGGTTCCCCATCTCCCCATATATGGGTCACCCTCTGCTCCTGTGCTGGGTTCTGCTGTCACGGGCAGAACATGGTTGAAATTTGCAGTAGGGTGAGGTAGGACTGTCACACTCACATGTCCAGTCTGTGGCTGATTGCACAGGGGATCTGTAAGGTCCAGCCACAGCAGCCACCTCCAGTGTGTACTGTCGCCCAGGGACAAGGTCCTCCAAGGTCACATTCGTCCAGTCATTCCCCAAAGTCACATTCCTGATCCACTCCTGGGACTTGGTTTCCAGGAGGGTCCCTGTGTAGCCAGTGCTGCCAGAGGAAGGTGCTCTCCAGGAGGCTTGTAGAGAGGTGCTGTGGCCCCCATTGCTGAGGGTCAGCTGCTCCGGGGGCAAAGGGTCTAGAAAAGGAAAGGTCCAGAGTCACCTGGCAGAAGTGAAACCCCAAAGTGAAGCCCTTTCCCTGGGAAAACCCACATCCAGGTGTTTTGACCACCGTCACCCCTGCTGACACCAGTTTGGCAGGGACTGGGCCAGCATAGAGTTCAAAGTGGCACAGAGAGAGGACTGTTCTGGTGCTGGACGAGGTGGTGGGTGGTGGAGAGGTGGCTCAAGGCGGAGGCAGCCTGAGCAGTGCCACGGGAGGATAGACCAAGGAGAAGGGGGAGGAGGGCACTGGGCTCTGCTGACCCTTGTGCCTGGTGACTGGGAAACAGAGCAGGGTCAGACACATCCAGCAGCAGCTCTGCCTCCTCCTGAGCCTTTTGCCCAGTTATTGGATGGAGCTGCAGAAGACACTCGCTGTCATGTGCCCTGTGGCACAACATCATGGGGAAGGGCAAGATCCGGTGGGAACCCGGGGCTGTGGAACTCACATGTCCAGTTGGAGACGCACTGGGGTGAGGATGTGTAGGGGCCAGCCACGGTGCTGACCTCAAAGGTGTAGAGGGTGCCAGGGTGGAGGCCCTCGTAGGTGAAGCTGGTGACGCCCCTGAGCAACGAGCTGTTCTTCACGGGGTGCTCGGCAGGGCTGAGGGCCAGCAGATAGCCCTCCCCCATCGCCTCCTCCCAGCTGGCCAGCAGGCTGTGGGGGCTGCCCTGGCTGGACAGGCTCACGCCAGATGGTGCTAGTGGCTCTGCAAGGACAAGGACACCCCGGCACAGGGCAGTGCATCAGGCAGGCAGGTTGCTTTCACGAGATTTTTTTTTTTTTGCTTTTCAGATTGCTCTAGGTGACCTGGTCTTGGCAGGTGAGTTGGACTAGATGATCTCCAGAGATCCCTTCCAGCTCTAACAGGTCTGTGATTCTGTGACACTGCAGCTGTCTCCATCCCATACGGGGGCAGCCGTGGCTGCAGGAAGAGCTCTTAGTGCCCCCAGCACCATGGTGGGTGCCTCCTCATGCTGTGCACAGCTCCAGTTGTCCCTTCCCAGGGTGTCAGCTCTGGGACAGCACTAACTGTGGCTCCACAAGTCACCCAGGAAGGACTGGGTGCAGGGAGATGCTGCTCTGGGGGGGGGGGGCTGGTGGTGCTTCCCTGCCCACCCACCCAGCTGCAGTAAGGGGAAGGGGGAAAGCTGCCTGGAACCTGCCAAACACTGAGTCCAGAGGCTACTGAGCAGGATCTGTCCTGATTTTTGCCTGAAACTTGCTGGCATAAGCCTGCCCAGCATCTCTGAGCCCACCCTCACCAGGAACTGTGGGGAGGCAGATTTTGCTGCTCTGACCCACAACCTACTCTTGAGACCAGGTGCCACAGGTCACAGCCCTGTCCCTGCCACAATCTCCCTGCTCATCCCCAGCCCCCCTCCAGGCACCAGCCCCTCCATCAGGCAGCAGGAATGGCCTCAAGGGTCTTGCATGGGCTTTCTGCTCACCTGTCCAAGCTGCTGTGCTGAAGGCTGATGCCTGGTATGGCCCTGCCACCACCATCACCTGGACAGAGTACTGCTTCCCAGGGCTCAGCCCATGGAAGGTGACGTGACCATTGTCCCCACCGACGGAGATGTTCCTCGTCACAACACCATCCTCTCCCTCTCGCAGCGTCACCAGGTAGAAGTCCCTGTGTCCCACTGGGATGCTCCAGCGAGCCTGCAAGGAGCTCTGCTCCTCTGCACTGCTCAGGGTCACATTGCCAGGGCTCAAGGGGTCTGGAAGGGAATGGGATTGTGTGCATCAGGATTATGGGGTGCTCTGTACCCCACGCAACCCAGAGCCTCATTCCCTGCAGGGTTATGTCCAGCCTTAGACTTCTTTTTGGAGCATGCCGTCTCCACTCCCCAGAACAAGCATTCCTGGACTAGCAGAGTCCAGACAAAGCTGGCAAACCTTCTGGGAAATTCCTAAAAGTCCGCTCCACTCCACTCTCATCCCACCATGAGCTTGCTGATATTCTCAGGAACTGGCCTGGACTGAACTCCTGGCCAGATGCCCCTGGCTCATGTGTCTGGCACAGGGGAATTTTGTTCAGTGGAGCAGGTCAGAGCTGCAGACAGCAACAGCAAGAACCAGCTTCACTTCACAGCAGAAAACCAGCTGCAGAGGCCTTCCGAAATCCCAGCTGCAGAGTCAGCAGGGAGCAGGCTCCAGCTTCCCAGGTGAAGCAGGAAGAAGCTGAGTCTTGACACCTGGTGGCACCCAGGTCCTCCCAGGGTACATGTCTGACCCCTGTCTCACCAGGGCCAGGACGAGTCACTGGCCACAGCAGCTCTGAGTCTGCAGCTTGGCACCTCCATCATTTGAGGGCCAGTGCTTCCTCAGCGTTTGGTGTGAATCTGCTCTGCCCAGGAGGCTGGGCTTGCCCTCTTCATTTCCCCCCTGGTTCTCCTGGGAACATCTGGGCTAGCAAGTCTGGGAATGGAACTGTTTGCAGTGCTATGGACGTGGTGTTGGCAACAAATCAGGGCTGTGGTGGTGGAAGTTCCCTTCTCTCAAGGCCCTTGTCAGCCTGAGGACAGAGCCGGGAGGAGGATGGGGGAACGGTGCAATAGCAGGCTCTGGGAGGGCTGCCACTAGACTAGATGGCTCTAAGCCCTGTCCAGCCTGGCCTTGAACACTTACAGGGAGAGGGCAGACACAGCTTCTCTGGGCAACCTGTGCCAGGGCCTCGCCACCCTCAGAGGGAAGAATGTCTTCCTAACATCTAATCTAAATCTCTCCTATTTTAGTTTAAAATCACTCCCCTCAAACCCTATCACTGTCTGCCCATGTAAAAAGTCTTTCTTGCTCTTTTATAAGGCCCTCCAGAAGCCTCCAGTTCAAACTAGCTCAACTGCTGTCCTCTTGCCTCATTTTTTCTGCAGCCCTTGTACAGCCCTGAGGCAATGAGAGCCCAGGCCCAGCTGCATTGAAAACCAGTGGGATCTGCTCTTGGGGAGGGACCACAGGCTGATCCCACTGCAACCCAGGGAGAAAAGCGGGCCAGCGCTGGGAATCTGCCTGCTGCAGGGATTCACTGGCCCCAGTACAGCAGCATCCCAGAGCTGGGTCCTGGAGTGGCTTTAGGCCAAGTCCAAGCAGAATCACCCTGTGCACCCAGGGCTCTGGCAGGAGGCCTTCAGATTCAGAGGCTGCACCAGAGACAGGGCGAAAGTCGGGGCCACCAAGGTCCTCCCCCGTCCCTGGCCATCATACTCACATGTCCAGGCAGTGGCATTGGGTCCCACTACAGTGTAGGGCCCGGCTGTGGCGCTGAGCCCCAGCCAGTACTGGGTGCCGGGGTGCAGATGCTGGAAGGTGTAGCTGGTGAGGCCCCTCCTGGCTGACAGGGTCGTGGTGACCGTCTGGGTGAGGAGGTTGCGGAGCTCAAGGTGCAGCCAGGCAGCCCCCGCAGCCCCTGCCCAGGAGGCGACGAGGCTGGTGCTGGAGCCCGGGCTGAGCCTCAGCTGGGTGGGGATGGAGGGAGCTGAGGGGAAGAGCAGGAGGCAGCGAAGTTCAGCAATGGAGCTGGGCCTCCCTGGACCCTCCTCTCTCCCAGGGGCCCACTGTGACCACAGCTGCTCTCTATGGCATGGGGGCTGAAGGTCTGGCAGGGGTCGGCTGAGGGATGTCCCTCTCATGTCCCCTCCCAGGTTGGCTGGGGGGCTCTTGAGGTCCTTCCATGCTGTCATGCTCTTTCAGGCTGCAGGGCTGAGGGGGTGGCAGCCTGGGCAATGCAGCATTCCTGCAGCTCTCGCTAGCCAAGAGATCCAGGATCCACCAGACTGCCCCTCTCCCTTGGGAACACACAAACCCAAGCTGTGGGCGCTGCAAGGCAGGCCCAAGGTGTGAAGTTTTCCCCTTGGCCCAGACACTGCGCTCACAGCGGGGACATGAAACACCCTCAGCTGCTGCCATCCTACACAAGCCTCCTCCCCACCTCTGCGAGCCCAGCAAGCACATGCTCTGCGTGCCTCCTGCCTTTCTCCCACCCCTTCCTCCTTGGGGCAGGCACACCCATCACTCCCTACCTGTCCACTGGTGGACACTGGTGCTGGCCTGGCTGGACCCAGTCAGCGTGCTGACCTTCAAGGCGTACTCGCTGCCGGCCAGCAACCCGTCGAACAGGAAGGTGGAGGCGCTGGGCGGGATGGACACGTTCCTCACCAGCGCCTGGGAGTCGCTGTGGTACAGGGCCAGGCCGTAGCCCTCGCGCTGCCCCGGGCCGTGCGCCCAGGCCGCCCTCAGCGAGGCCGAGCTCCCGCCACTGCTCAGGCTCAGGTTGCGGACGGGTGACGGACCTGCATCACACATGACATGGCACAAGACAGTGTTGGCTGGCTGCCTGGGAGTGCCTGACCTGGCGAGTTGTCCCACAGGCTTGGTGGAACGTTGGCCTTTGCCTGGTGAGGTCCTGGCAGCCAGCTCCGCAGGATCCGATCTGAGGATTGTGGAATGGTTTGGGTTGGAAGGGACCTTAAAGCTCAGCTCGTTCCAGCCTCCTCCTGCCATGAGCAGGGACACCTTCCACTAGAATAGGTGGCTCCAAGCCCCATCCAGCCTTGCCTTGGACACTTCCAGGGATGGGGCAACCACAGCAACCTGTGCCAGGGCCTCACCAACCCCACAGTGAACAATTTCTTTTTAACATCTAACCTAAACCTCTTCTCTGTCAGTTTAAAACTGTTCCCTCTTGTCCTGCCACTATATGCCCATGTAAAAAGTCCCTCTCTCTCTATTTTAAAGTTCCTTTAGCTACTAGAAGGGACTCTAAGGTCACCCTGGAGCCTTCTCCTATCTAGGCTGAACAACCCCACCTCTCTCGGCCTGTCTTCCATAGCAATGGGACTCCAGGAAGGATCCCCCAAGCACAGCCCTATCACCTCCCTGACCTCTCACCAACCTCCCGTGGGTGGTGTGGGGTGCACCATCCCCTTTGGATCAGTCTCAGCAGTTACTCTGAACTGAGCGGGGAGGCTTAGTCAGGGACAGCACACACAGTGAAGCCATCATTGCTTACCTGGGAGCTCATCTGCTAACAGGTCCTCTGTTCCTGCTGGCCCCGTGGGTCCTGCCACCTGCCTTCCCATGAGAACCAGCTCCTGCTCCTTTCACTGTTGCCTGACACCAGCCCTTCCAATCTGTCCAGCTGTCCAATCTCCTTCAGCTCTATCCTCCTTTTCTAGGTTTTCCACCTTCACCTGCACTGCTTTACTCAAGGATCTTCTGGAGAGGTGCAGGCAAGGGCTGCCATCCTGACCTGAGCTGTTGAGCCACCAGCCCTGTTCCCTTCCCCAGACCTTGGAATCAGCCAGGGAGGGTGCAGAGCAAGACTTGAGGGGTGAGTTGTAAATGATGGAGATGTGCCAAAATTGTAGAGCAGATGCTCCTTCCTCATAGCCCTTTCTAGACCTCCAGGCATGACATTTTCCACCCCCCAGCTCTCTGCAGGCCACATTATGGGCTGGTCCACCATTAGCTACATTATTTTAGGAGAGGACACAGCATAAACCCTGCCCATGCAAGGTGCAGGGACAGGACCCTTCCTCCACAAGGATGAGGGAATGACCCCTGGGACTCTGGGGACCACAAAAGGACCCTAGTTCTGGTGGAAGTGAGGAAAAGCCCAACCTCCCCACGAACTAGTGGGACTCCAAACAGACCTGGGCTCGGCACCCTCCAAAGCAGCACAATGGTATTGGCAGGAGCCCTGAGACCCTCTGCAGTCCCTGTAGAGCCCTTACTTGTCTGAGCTGTGATGGTCTGGCTGATAGTCTCCATGCAGGCCAGCGTGGCTGTCACCTCGATCTCGTAGCGTGTGCCAGGGGTCAGCCCGTGGAACCAGAAGCTGGTGGCGTTGGGCCCAGCAGAGCCATTCTGCAGCGGCCTGCCTGACCCCAGGGAGGAGAGGGCGAGCGAATATCCCTTGGCACCTTCCTCTGGCTCATCCCAGGACACAAGGAGGGAGTCTGACCGGCCATGGTCACTCACGCTGACGTTCAGGAGGGTGCCTGCAGAGGCAAATCCAAAACTGTCAACAGGGAGCCTGCAGAGCCAGCTCCCAGCCCACCCACCCTTGCTGTGGTACACCGGGCACCAGCCACCACCATGGACGCTGTCCTGCTTTGGTCAGGCCCCCCGACACCGAGGGCTCTGAACAGCCTTTGGGAAAACACAAGAATGCTCAGAAACCTCCACGGACTGAGGTCAAAGGGAGATGTGAAAGAGATGCTCCAAAGTGTGGAGCATCTGCTCCGTTGGAGAAAGACCAGAAGGCTTCAGTTCATCGTGTGTTTTGTCCAGAGAGCCCTGATTTAAGGCAGAGAAGTTCCCTGGCTGGGTATAATCCACTGCTTGCCACCTTGGTTGGCTTGAGCCCCCAGAAAAGATGTTGAAGGGCTCTGTGTCCACGGAGAAGCAAGACAGTGGCCAGTGAGGGGGCAGGATGGAAATGGCAGGGGGGCCATTACGTTCCCTGCAACAGTCTCTGCTTCTGTGTGGGGTCTGACACAGTTGGGGGACAAAGGCTCCTCTGGGGGGATCCAGACATTGAGTCCCTCCTGTTCTGCCCAGGGTAGAGGTGAATGGGAAGAGTGGGACACTGTGTATGTGGAGGAAATGTGGGGCCAGCCTGGCTGCAGGCCCTGCTGAGGTGTTCCTGCTGCAGCAGTGAGGTCAGTGCACTGGGGCTGCGGGGCCTGCGCTATGGCATCCCCATGGAGAGCATCTGGGGGCAGGGAAGTGGGGTACAGGGCTTGGCCTTATTGGTGGGTCAGTGGCCAAAACTGCTATTGAGTCCCTGCCCTTTGAGCTGCTGAGGAACCATCTACACAACAGGAGCCAGGCACGACCTGTCTGTCAGGGCCAAGCTGGCAGCTGACCTGGGTAGGCTCCATGTCTGCCTCCCAATGCCTCTAGCAGATTTTCAGGCACCCCCATCCCCAGCCTAGCTGTGAGTCACAGAATCACTTTTCCAAAGGTTGGAAAAGCCCTCTAAGCATTTCCCCAGAACTGCCAAGTCCAGCACTAACCCATGTCCCCAAGTGCCACATCCATGAACTCTCTACTGCTCTCAGCCTTTGGAAAATGACAGAACAGCTCTAAGTGCTAGTACGACATTTGTGTAATAATTAGCACTTAAAATTTATGGTGTGCAACATGTTGTGACAGGCTTACGTGGGGTCTGGTGCAGCAAGAAAGCTCAAACCAAGCACAGTGACTGCCCCAGAGGTCGCCCCAGGGGTGGCCTTTACACAGTCAGGGAGGAGCAGTGTGGGGTGAGCCCGGGGCAGGGGCACCTTTGGCACAGTTCAGGAGTTGTGTGTGTCTTTCCCACTGATCTGAACACTTCCAGAACTATGTTCCACTTCTTTTCCATGCAATCCTGTGGTTTGGAGCCTGCTGCAATGCTGAGAGCTTCACTCAGCAGGCGAGGGCAAAAGGACCTGGGGACATCAGATGAACACAAATAGGAGCAGGTAGTGCCCCTGGGAAAGGCCTTTTCAGCACCATCCCTGAGTAGTTCAAGTGCAGATTTAGGATCAGACTGCTCAGGAGGGGTTAGCTGAGTGTAGCTGGGTGCCCATGGGTCAGATGTCTTTACCTGGGCCAGCTGCCCTGGGCTCCCCTCCCTGTTAGCAGACACCCAGAGCACAGGGCACATCTGACCTCCTCCCTTAGGCAGCCCACGGGACTGTGCCCTGCCCTGTGGAGTTCAAGCAGGGATCGTTTGTCACTGCAGGCTCTTTCTTATCTTATTTATGAAGGTATGAATTCTCCACCCACATTTCTCTGCTTCTCTTGGGTTTCCACCAGCCTCATTGCCTGCCTCCCTCTGTCACCTTCCTCACATCTGCAGCACAAATGTACCTAGAATGGGCAAGAGGCACCCTGTGGCCCCAAAGCCCCTGACCCCACAGGTAAGCTCCACTAACCACATCACAGACAGCCTCACCCAGGTACACCTCGTGCCCTGACAGGTGCCTGTGGTTCATCTAGGAGAGTTCTCACTGGCACAGGCTGGTGCCATGTGGGTACCGCACTGGCTCCAGGCCCACAGCAGCCATGGAGCTGCCTTATGGACTATGATCCTGCCTGGGCAACTGCAGGGGCTCTGAGCAGGGTACCTATGTCTGTGCTGTTGCTGAACCCACCTGATGCTCTGTGGAAGGAGAGAGCTTGGAGCCTTGTCCATCTCTCACAGTGCCCCCCATATGGCTGGTTGCTGGAGGGGGATGGGGCTGACTCTTCCCCTTCCCTGGCCATGATCTGCAGCCTGTAGTAAGCCTAAAGCAGAGTATTTACAAAGCTACTCTCAACTTCAAGAGTCCTGGCCCAGCACATCTGCTCATCTCACTGCTCCAGGCACAGAGACCATCCCTCCTTCCTCAGCCTGGGACTTACCTCTGTCACCACGTGTGTCCTGTCCCTCCAGCCATGCCTGTGCTGTCTGGTTGCATCCCTCACCCTGGGGGATTGAAGATGTCAAGTGAGAGAGGGGCAAAGTGAGGGGGGCTGAGCTGAGACCAATGCCTGGGAGAGGTGTCCTGTGCCAGGCCAGGGGTCAGGCTGGCCAGGCAGAGGTCCCACCCTGACATGGCATCTGTGGGCTGTGACCCCTTTCCCCAGGAGAGCTTGTGTTACTTGTCACCCTGCCTCCCCTAGCCAAGGCAGGGAGACAGACTCAGCAGATGCAGCTTGTGAGCTGCCCTGGCCTTTCGTGTGGGGCCTGGGGCTGCAGACCAACAGGCCATGTCCACAGGGGAAGACCCCCCCCCAACCAGCCAGGGCACAGGGAGGTCTGGAGAGGAAGGGAGTGAGCTCTGGACAGGCTCTGGCAATCTCATTCCCTGTACAGGCACATCTCCTTCCCACCGCCATGGGGGGAGGATGGAGGGACCCCAGACCCCCCGCGGGCTGCACAGAGCTCCCGGAGCCCCCAGTACTCTCCCCTGGCAGCAGGGACACCCGTCTGCTCGCAGCCTGCTCCCAGCAGGGTGTGCCCTGCTTTGGGCTGGCGTCAGTTCCCCCCGTGTTAAAGGAAACGTCTCTGCCCACTCCTTGTCCCGCAAAAAGCCATCGTCTTCCTGGCATTCCTTCCCCTCGGCTCCACGGGCAGACTCGTCCTGGCTCCCCACCGACTGCAGGGCTTTTGGGAGAGGAGAACAAAGGGGCGGGGGACCCCCGGGACAGCAGCCGGGCCATTCCCGGGCGAGGATCCGCGCAGCCATGGCAGCGGGGACACGCTGCGGTCCCGGGCGCTGCGGCCGGGGGGCAGCGGGGGGGCAGCGGAGCTCGGGACCGCGAACGCCGCTGATGTGGCGCAGCCGCACCGGTGAGAGGAGCCCAGAGCGGTGCCCCCGGCGGGGCAGGGCTGTGCGGAGCCCCTCGCGAGCTGGGAGCCGAGAGCTGCGGAGCCAGAGGGGCTGGGGGAGCCAAGCGCTTACCTCTGCCGGGGTCCCCGGGAGCCGCGGCACCCACAGCACCAGCAGCGGCAGCAGCGGTGGCCTCATGGGGACCTGGGTGGCTGCAGATGAGAGGGATGACAAGTCGGCGGGGGTGGGGTCAGCGTCTTAGCAGTGGCTGTCCCCAGCCAGCCCCTTCTCCCACGGCAGCCAGGAGCCGCGTCCCCACATGCTTTCCGAGCGCGGGTGACAAGATGACATCACTGGGGACCAGGCAGTGCGTGGCACCCCGGCCGGGCCCGCTGTCCCTGGGCAGGGGCAGAGCTCGCCTCCGGCCCGGGAGGAGCCCAGCGGGGGCGGCTGCCTCTCGCCGGGCGCATTTGTTGTTGTCCCCGCGGGTCCGTGCCCCTCTGCGGTGACTCTCGGGCGGGTGCGGGCTGCGGGCAGAGCTGCCGGCCGGGGCGCTGGGGCGGGGGGGCTCGCGGGGGCTCTGCGGGGCTGGAGCCCGCTCTGGCATCAGCAAGAGCTCGGCAGAGCTGGGGGAGCTGGAGCGGGAGGAGCGGCAGGGGAGGAGACAGGACGGGACTGACGGCGGCTCCGGGCTGGGAGGGAGCTCCCGAACCAGCCCCCGGCGCGGGGAGGGAGGGGAGGAGGGCGCATGGCTGGGCTGCGATGCTGGAGGGAGCGAGGGCACGAGTGTGGCCGCGGGGTGCTGTGCACCCTGGGCTCGCTCTCTGCTCGCGCTTTCAGCTCTGTGTGCATTAATTCCTGCGCAGTTGCGGCTGTGGAACGGGGGTTTGGGTACGTCGAGGGGCAGGGACTGGGGGGTGTCTCTGTGCGATGCCCTTAACACAGCGGCCTGCAGGCTGGGACAGGGGGTGCACACTGTGAGGCTCCTGGGCCCTGCATCCCGCGAGCCCAGAGACGCCTGGACCACGCTTTGGCCATCTAAGGGGGTGGCTGGGGTGAGCCGTGCCCTGTGCCCGGGCTGTGTGGGCACTGTGCTTTGGGGGGTTGCTGTGGGGAGCAGTCTGTGCCTGCCCTGCTGCGGGCAGGGCTGTGCTGTGCGGTGCTGTGCGGTGTCTGTGCAAAGCGTGGCAGGACGCCAGCTCTGATTCAGAGCAGAGATGCCATTGGCTTCACATCAGCGCTGGAGATCTGGGACAGTGCTGGAAGAGGTTCAGTGATGCATCAGTCCGGAAGCCAGTGCAGCCTTTGTGGCCGTGGGAGTCTGTCACAGTAGCCAGTACGGCCACCAACAGGGGCTATTCAAGCTCTGCTCATTGCTCTGAACCACCAAGCTGTCAGGGTGGGACACATCCCCCATCTGCTCTTTGGAACAGCAGAATCCCTTGCCAAAAACCTCAGAGGTTTATCAAGTGGGATCTGTGATAGACAGAGCAACCCACAGTGCCTGGACAAAGACATGGAAAGCCCCAGCTCTTGAACACAATTGAGAAGCGAGTGGGATGCAAGGAACCTGGTCTAGGACCCATCTCCAACCCCAGGTCCATCGCCCAACCCTTCTGGCAGCCCCCAGGCTGATAGACCCAGCTGGAAAGGGGCTAGAGAGCACGAGGCCCCTTCACTTTGCATGGGTGACAGTTAATTTCCCAGGTCCTGGCCAAATGGAACTGGTGCCAGGAGTTCGGGTCCGTGGTCACAGTCACGTCTCTGCAGAGGTCCAGTCCCCTGCCTGGAGCAGGCTGAGGGTAAAGGAACCCTGGCCCTGCAGCTCAGCCCAGCAGTGAGGGACACAGAGATCAGGGAGGCAGCAGAATGTGATGCCTTGGCTTCAGCACACACAAGATTTTTAACCCTTAATGCCAGCAGCTCCAAGGGCTGAATGCAAAAAATACCATGGCTGCACCCTCTCCCATGGATGGATGCCCGTGGAAAAGAGCTCTGGCTCTTGGAAGTCCCCAAGGTTTCCTCTCAGAAATAAGCATTTGGGGCTGAGGTCCACCAGCACCTGAGGTGATGGGGCTGACCCATGAACCAGTGCACAGCCAGCTCTGCAGCCCCCCATCCCTGCTGCCAGACACTGGCGTGACAGGGAGCTGAGTGCAAGGTGGGTGCTCAGGGGCACTGGGGATGACGTCCTCCAGCCACTGAGATGAATGGGGAGAGGGTCCCCCTCCAGGACCCAGGCGAGGGGAGGTTTGGAGTTGGCTGCTGTTGTCTCCAGTGGGCTGGGGACTGTTTTTAAAGGCCCCTTTCCAGAGCTGGGTGGCTGCAGCCAGCTGGGAGGAGGCTGGAGCTCCCCGCTGCAGCGAGGGCTTGCCAGGTTTACCCAGGGGCCCAGAATGGGATTGAGGAGGTTACAGCTGGCTGGTCCCCAAGACACATTTGCAAAGAGGCTTTCGGTGGATGTCCCCACAGGGGTCCATGGCAGGGTAGAGGCTGTCAGCAGAGGTGGTCCCACTTTGGATGGGGAGCATGGAGCTGTTTGCTGCCATGAGCAGCCTGGAGGGTCACCTGGAGGATGGCTGGGGCAGAGGCAGTGCAGGCAGTGAAGGCTGGGGATCATGTGGTGTCCCTGGAGCATGGCAGGTGATGGCAGAGCTGGCTGATGAAGCAGGGGTTGGAGGTGAGGATGGAGGGCCTTAGTGGGCTGGGAATTGTGATCCAGGGGCATGGGGCGGGAGGGACCCTTGATTATCAAGGAAAACTCTGTGAAGAGGTGTTGCATGCCCCAGTGTCAAAGGCAGTGTCACATTCAGTAGTGGCACAGACAGGAGGTTTTTCCAGGCTACAGCATCAAGGTGGGGCTCCTCTAGCTTCAAAGCACACCAAAGAGCAGCCCCAGGCCAGCAAGAGGGAAAACCCAGTCACTGGAGTCCTGGGAAACTCCAGCTGGGTTGTGCCTGCCCTGCCCAGCTGGGGAGAAGCTGAGCCCTTGTGTACTCACTGCACCTGCCCGGGCACAGCCTCGGTGCCCCTGCACCAGCCTGTCTGCAAAGCTGGCCATCTCCACCTCCAGCCACTCTGATGGTGTCACAAGGGTGGGATGTGGCATCTCCGGAGCTTGTTGGAAACCAACCTCTACTGTTGCAGCCTTGGGTGAGGGCACAACTCCCCCACTGAGGCAGTTTCTCCAGACACTGGCTTGCCCAGGGAGCAAAGGGTCTGTTCTACCCTCCCTGGTCTCTGGGCTGGGCAGCCAAGCAGGGATTCCTGAAGCACAGTGTCTCTGTCCCCTTGGATCCTGCTGCCATGCTATGCCCCTGCCCCACATCTCCCCATCCAGGAGGAGAGGTGACTCCCCACTTGGCATGAGGATGGCCTTGGGGGATGCCTTGCTGCCCACCAGGATGGGATTGGCCTCTGAGCATGGGCCAGGAGGTGTCCCAGCAGGTTTCTCAGCCTCTGCATGCTGCTGGTGACCCATCACAGGGCACACTGAGCTGTCACCCCCCTGCCATGGGAACACACCTCCAAACTAGCCCCACTTATTTAACCTCGGATCCCAGTGGCTGTGCTCCCTGAGCTCAGGGAGTTTGGGCTGTGCCTGCAGTGGAAACAGCCCAAAGCACTGCTGGGAGCCAAACCCAGGCCCCGTCCCTGGTGCCACAGCACTTGGCAGCCTCCATAGGGGACAGAAACTGCTCATCCCATGCCAGCACTGCCACAGCCACCCCAGTGACACCATGCCACCACAGGTAGGGACAGCGAGAGAGAGAGTCCTCCTTGAGCTGGGGATGCCAGATCTCCCCTTCGGTCCCCCCAACAGTGTAGCCTTCAGCTGTGCCAAACCCAAAGACGACTGCAGAAGGTTTCTCCACCCAGCAGCTGGAACCAGGCCTGGAAACTCAGAGGCTGCCGAGTCATCACATTTTCCGCGAAGCAGCGAATGCTACCACAAGGCACAGGGGGGTGGGGACGTCCCGCCGACTGCGGGGACTGGAGAGCTCGGCTGGCCAGAGCTGTGAGGAGACCATGGCACTGTGCAGTCAAGCCACCACCTCTGGCAAGGGCCAGAGCCCCAGCATGGGAGACCGTCCTTGCCCCGTGCCCTGGAGGGATCATCCAGGAGCAGAGACGGGAAAGAGGACCCCTGACAACATGCCCATCCCTGTGGTGTCAGGTGTTGTTTATGCTAAGGGACAACAGCCACAGTGCAAAGGCCCTGCCTGGCAAAGGCTCCAGGCTGTCCTCCTGGGCAGTTCCAACCCCAAAGCAGAGCAGGGTCCACCCCCTTGGCACTCCATGCGTTGGCCTCCTCTCCAGGTGCCCAGAGCTGGCAGCACTGGGCTTGTCCCCACTGAGGCATCCCCTGGGCTTGAGCATGGTCCCACATGCCTGGCGGGACTGGGTGCCTCCCTAGGAAGCACTTGCTGGGGTGAGGGTGGGCAGGGTGGGCAGCAGAGTGTGTGCCTGTGGCATCCAAGGGTCCCAGTTGTGTCACAAGGTCTGGCAAGGTGACATTGGCAAGTGATGCTCCCAGGGCTGGGCATGGGCAGAGCCTTGCAGGGTCCCTGCTGGAGGACAGCATGTGGGTAAGGATGCTCCCAGAGGGACTCAACCTGTCACTCAGAGGGCACAGCCATGACCTGGTGCTGTGAGCAATGCAATCACTGCACAGAGGAGCCTCTGCCCCTGTCTGGATGTGCAGCCCCATGGGAGCTCTGCCATCCGTCCTTGGGCAGGACCCTGTGCATCCAACCTGGCACCCCGTGACAACGTGTGCCATGGGGTCCCATGATATGGGGCACTGGTGCCACCGGGATTGGGCTGGGAGCAGCTCTGGGGCTCCTGTCCTGCCTCAGCCCAACAACAACATCCCTTCAGTCCCTGTCCCTTGGTATCTCCTGGTGCCCACCAGCACTGTGAACTGCCCCAGGCCATGATTTCTCCCCTCTGCCACCTCTGAGGTGCCTAGTGCTGCCTGGGGCTGAGAGTGAGGAACAAGGGGAACAGGCTGCTCCCAGGGCAAAGCCTGCAGAGGATGCAGGTGCTGCTGGGACTTCTGTCTCTGCAAGGTTCACACGCCAAGGTTCTCCAGCCCTAAAGCCTAGAGCACTGGGATGCTTCTTCTTGCAAGTGTTTAATCATTCCCACGTGGAGCCCTGCCAGCGCTGCTGCTGCCTCCTGCCCCACGCTTCCAGACCTTGGAGCTCTTCCCATTTTGTTGCAGGGGGGGAGGGCAGGCGGGCAGTGGGGGATGTCACCCCTCTGCAAGGCAGGGCACAGCCACACTGTCTGGGCTGGGGGACAGCCAGGAGTGGCAGCAGTGACTCTGTCACCGTCTCCTGAGTGATGCTCTTCGCTTCCCCCTGCTCGCTGCTGAAGCCCTGGCAGCTGAGCCCGGGATGCCTGTGGGTGCGAGCCAGGCGCCTGCAGAGCTGGGAAGCGCAGGGCTGCGGTGACTCGGGCACGCCCAAAGCCGGCAGAGCCGGGCAGACCTGCTCTGTGCCCCCGGGGCGCGGGTGCCGCCCTTGGGGCTGAGCAGGCTCAGGGCTTCTCTTCCCCTGGTCAGGCAAGAGGCACTCAGTGGGGAGCGCTGAGAGCAGCCTGGACAGTGCCTGCCCCACACCTACTGCAAGTAGTGCTGGGGCAGCACCTGGATGGCCCCAAAATCACCCACCCCATCGTCAACAGCCTGCGGAACCCTGTGGGGCTCTGCTCTCACCCTGCGATGCGGTGCCAGCAAAGGTGCCTGGTGCTGCCAGGATGCCACACTCACAGAGCCAAGAAGTAGCTGTGAAGCAGCTCCCAGTGCCCACTCATGCTTCACCGTGCTGGGGAGCCCAGGCATGAGATACCCCCGCGCAGGCACAGCCGTGGAGTGCCAGGCTCTGCTCCCAGCACAGCCACACTCAGGGGCTGTCCATCCCCTGCCGCCCTCCCGGGGTTGTGGCATCGGGTTTGCCCGCGCTGTGCCAGGGCACGGGAGGGTCCGCACTCCTTTCCTCGCCGCACACATCCCGGCTTTGATCGCGCATCTGGGAAGAGGGAGGGGGACAAGGAATGGGAGCGGTACCTCAGCTGGTGGGTGTCCCCGGTGTGGTCCACAGCCCGTCCCCGTGCGCCTGGCGCATGCGATGGCAACCTGACACGCTCCCACTTACCGTTTGCTCTGCTCGAGCACGGCCCTGACGCTCAAGTCTGGGCTGGTCCGGCGGGAAGGCCCGCCTGGGCTCGCCCAGCTCTCAGCAGCAGGATGCTGGGGAGGAGGGATGACAGGGATGTCTCCTGTGGCCCCTTGAGAGCAGAGGTCTGCACTCCTGGGGGGCAGGAGCTGCCTGCCACACTGCAGGTTGGGCACAGCTCACACCCCCCTGCACCTCGCTGGGGTTTGCCCCACATGCTGCAGGTTCAGCTGGGTGCCAGGGACCTTGGACATGGCTGAGCATCCCCTCGTGCTGCTGCTGCTGCTGCAGAGGGCCAGGGAGAGCCCCAGGTCTCTGATGGAGCCAGCGCAGGTATCCAGCACGTGCACCAGCCCTGAAGGTGTCTGTGGACTGTGATTGCTTAAGGCTTTGCTGCCCCGACCCCCACTGGACCAGGCACCGTCCTGAAGTGAAAGCATCCTGACCTCCTCAGTCCCACATCAAAGGAGATTCAGAGAAGCTGCTGTGTTGGCTCAGGAGCATCCCAAGAGCTTGTCCAGGATGGCTCTTATCCTCACCCTGGTGAATGGGTAGCAGCTGGTCCCACAAGGGAGGGTCACGCGTATTTCAGCCACCAGACAAGAGCCTTCTGCAAACAGGCACCTGTCCCTGCTGGTGTCCCCCCTGCCTCAGCCAGGCTAAAGCTCTCTGCAGACAGCAGGGAGAGGGACAGTGACAGGAAGCCCTGGACATTTCTGTCATGCTCAGCAGTGATGTGAAAATCCAACCGTCAAATTTGGAAAGCGGCTCAGTTTCCAAATACTGCCACGAGCTGAAAATCCCACCTGAAAACGAAACCAGGCCCAGCCTCTGGTTCAAAGTTTCCTGTATAAAAACAAACCTGCTGACGGCTTCATTTGCACACAAAAGGCTTTGTTTTCAGGAGGAAGGTCTCTTTTTTTCGGAGGAGTAAACACAAAGCCTGCCCATTCTCCATGTCGACCATGGGAGGGAGATCCACCCGGCAGATCAGGTCGCCAGCAGGGCATTGTCCCTTCTTGCTGCCTGGCTGCTGTCCCTCTCTGGCATCTCCTGTGAGCAGACTGCTGCCTGCAGCACTGCCAATGCCAATGCCAATGCCACTGCAATGCCAACACCACCATCACCATACCCATCTGCAAGCCCGGGACTGAGGCTTGCACAGCCTGTCCACGCCCACCCCCATAGCTGGAGAGTCCCAGGGCATGGGGACAGGTCTTTGCACCATTGCAGTCCCGGGGAGCTGGCGGGTGGCACCCAGGGCTGCTCCTGTCCCCACAGCATGGCTGCAGCCTTGGCAGTGCCTGCTTATGCAGCTCCTCAGCTTCTCCCTGGCATCTCCCACAGCTCCTGGAGCCAAACACAACACGAGCCCGTCTCATCCGCTGTCAGCAGTGCCTGCAGCTTTCTGCATCCAGCCCCCAGCAGAAGCAGTTCTGCTTCTTCACAGGAGCAGTTGGGGGAACCCCTCTGGGCTCTACTCCCCCAGCCCAGCTGCAGGGAGCCCCAGTGCCACCCTCCCCAGGCAGAGGCACGTTTGGGGTTGGCACAGCCTGGCTGCTCCCCAGGGCACTGTTGTAGCCATCCAGCAGCAGTTGCTGCCTGGGACATGTCTTGGCCGCAGGCACAGGTCCTACAGCCATCGATTGCCAAAGGCTTTGCTGGCAGGAGCTCGGCCTCACCCGGCGGGTGCTGCAGTTCTGGAGCAGGGGTGAGACGCTTGCAGAGGGATGCAGGATCAGCTCCCTCCACTGTTGCCTGCTGACAGTTTTGTCTGTCCCTTCAGCCAAGGCTTCTGCTGCTTGACTTAGAATGGTGGGACCATTCACTGGGTCTTGTAGAGTGACACAGAGCTCAACCTTGTCCAGGGGTCCCCAATGAAGTGTCCACTGAGTTGAACATCCTGGCTTGAGGGTTTGGGGGCATGGAGAGTCTGTGGGGCTTGGAGGCCTTCACAGATGCCAGACTTGGAGAGCTGGTCCCTACCCAAGGCACTGGTAGAAGCTATTTTCACCTCTGAGCTGGAACACACCTGCTGTGCCTCAGTTTACCATCCACATGCTGGGAGGCAGAGGTGCTCTGCTGCTGGAGGGGAGGGAGGGAGAGCAGGCTGGTGACAGATACGCATCAAGCTCTTCTGAGCCTTCTCATCCCCTCCTGGGCTCTCAGTAGCGGTGCATTTGTCATCTGGGCTGCAAAGCCACGCTGTCCTGCATCTCCCATGAGCAGTGCAGCTGGGTTGGGCTGACTGTGGGGCCCAGAGGGACAGCCTGAAGGCTTGGTGGGATCAGCCTGGCTGCTGTTTGGCTTGAGTCGCTCGGCTAGGAGAGCCTAAAACAACAAACATCACAGAATAAGGGAATGTTTCACTGTTTTTTTTAGTCTAGTGGTTTCCTGTGTTCTAAGGATCTCTTCCAGCACCTCTGGGCAGAAGAGAACTTGCCTGCACAGAGCCTGGTCCCAGAGCAGACCCCCACCCAGGAGGCACGTTCCAGCTGCTTGACATGTGGCAGAAGAAGAGGTCAGAAAAGATCAGCTCCAGGATCAGCTGTGACCTTTTCTGGAGACCTGCAGCAGGAGACAGCACCATTCCTTCCCCTCTGGGCCAAAAGCATCCCTGAACACGTGCTTGCACCCAGCACAAGGATACCACCTGCATACACAGCCTGGCTGTGATTCTTAACAGACACCTTCCCACGGCCTGACACTCCTCACAGGCTGCCCTGCCAGGGAAGTGGGCATTGCTGGGCTCAGTGTGCTCTGGCAGGTGCTGTGGGGGTCAGGAATGTCTTGGCACTCTATAGGATGCTGCTGAAGGCAGATACAAGGGCAGGGTGGCCTGTGACATCCCTGTTGTATCTCCTGGGAGTGAGTGTCTCCAACATTGTCATCCCTGCACCCCACCTGTGTGTGTAATTTCAGTGTTGTTCCAGCCTGGAGTCCATCCCTGCTCCCCCAGAGCCTGTCTGTAGTGGTGCAAACAGGTAAGGTCACCCTGCCTGGTGGTTCCCACCCAGCTCCTGCTGCCACTCATCTGCTCCCTGCCCAGTTCTCCTGCTTCTTCTCTGCCTGTCACCAACCTCCCCTGTGTCCTGGAGGGTACCAGGGCTGGTGGGACCATCCCACCAGGTCTCCAGGGAAACACACAGATATTTTCTCCATTGACAAACATCACCTTTGCCCTCCTTTGCTGCATGTTGTTAAAAGAGACCATTGTCAGAGTCTGAGCTGACAGCCTGTGTCAGCCCCTGGGGCCTGTCTGATCGCTGGGAAGAGGCAGCAGAGAGGACGCTGACACACAGGGTGGCTGTCACTGCTTGAATCCATCCTGGCTCTTCGTGGGAGACAGGATCCATCTGGACCTCTTCAGGGTCCATCCTAGATCCACACAGGCTCAGCCATCCCTGACTATGACAGAAACATAAACCAGCCCCTTGCAGGGATGGGGCAAAAGGCAGACATGGGGGTCCTGTCAGAGCCCCAGAGCCAGTCAGTTGTGCAGGATATGGCCCCACACGTGACATCTCCTGCCCAGCTGGCGTGGGCAGCGGGTCCCTGCCTGGCACCTGCTTCAGGCCACTGCCCCAGGGCTCTGGGGTCCTTTGGCTGGATTCCAGCTCTGGGCCCAGAGTGGAGCAACCCCAAAGCCCGCTGAGGCATCCCCAGTACTGCTTCTGAGGAGAGGCTCAGGAGACCCACGGGAACAGGACAGGCCTGAGGGGCTGTGAGAGGAGGTGGAGACGTCATGTTCCCCAGCAGTGTCGTGATGCCAGGCTGGCTGGTGGTGTGGCAGGGCAGGGATGGCCTGGCCTAGCTGAGAGCAGAGCTTGCTGGCTTTGCACCCCTCTCTGCACCCCTGTGAGTGTTCTGTCAGTGCTTCCCCATTCTCTTCCCCTCTCGCCATCAGCACAGATCCCTCCTACCCTGTCCTGGTGCCACAGACCTGGGCCCCAGCAGCACAGGCAGGTGGTGGCTGTATCCTGCATTACAGAGGCACCCACCCTGTCCCAAAATGCCCCCCACAAACAGAGGTGAGGTATGGGGGGAGAAGGACAGTGGACTGTGCAGAATTGCACAGTGACTTGCCCACCAGGCACCGTGTCTGTGATCTGCTGCTGTTCCCCGTGGTGGCAGACCCAATGCCTCACTCAGGGTCACTACAAACACCACCCTGGTGCCAGCCCCGTGGCTCGACCCTGTGTCCCTGCCAGCAAGGAGCAGGGCAGGGTGCTCAGCAGCCTTGGGTGATGGAGACAGCTGCTGTCTGGCAAGGCATGGCTTTCACAGGCAAGCAGCCCAACACTTGTGCTGCATCCCAGGCTCTGGTGGCACCAGTTGCTGCCTTGATTTCTCCTCCAGTGTCAAAAGCTCCATGGCTCCATCCTTCGACTCTCTGGCAGGAAAGGTGTCCCTGGTCCCACAGCAGTTAGGGACCCCCCTCAGTCCCGACAGCAGAAGGAAATAAACTAAAAAGCTCACAGTTGCTTTTCCTCCAGATCTGGGCCATCTGTGGCCATGAGCACCAGGGCTTCCCCACCGTGAGCTGACAGGAATATTTCTGATGCCTGGAACTGGGATAGAACAGGTGTGCTGTGAGCTTCCATGGCTCAGACCTACGGCTGCAGCGAGACAAAGGGGACTCAGAGGCATCACACAGCATCTCCCAGCAGCAGCAATGCATGGTCCAACGTGGCAGCTTCCTGAATTTCTGAGGCCAGAAAGCACAACCCAGAACAGCTTTCAGGAATGGACAGGCCCACGCTCTGTCGTGGCCGTGAGCTGGAGAAGCAGCACTGGGCAGAGCTGCATTCTGCCTCTGCACTGCTGCCCTCTGGCTGCCTCTGCTGATCCACAGCCAGTCCTTCGGCTGGGGAGGTGGGACCTGCCGTGGCTGTCAGAGGCTCTGCCTCTTCCTATGCAAGAACCA